TTTGGCGGGCCTGGGCTGGATTCGAACCCACCACCTTAGGTGTATGTGGCTGGCACCTTAGCCACTTGAGCCACAGGTGCCAACCCAAGTGAACTCCTTTCCCCTAGCCCTTCAAACACATGCAATAGGATGCCTGTGACCAAGATTACCACATGTGCACCTGCAAGTGTGAATGGCTCAGAGAAAGGAGCTGTGGCAGATAAAAGGTATTCCAGTCTTCCTTACCCCTCAGCACTGAAATACAGATACATAGCCACGCCCATCACTAGGTCTTATTATCGGGGTAGGGCTTATATTTAACAAATGCATAGAAATCCTGCTAGGGCTTATTTTTTGGGCAGGTCTTATTTTTGGGGAAACATAGTATGATGACAACAGGGCGCTGTACCCGAGGTGACAGAGTAAGACTCTGTCTCAGAAGAAAAATAAAAAGAAAAAGAAGGAAACTAGGTCTCTCTCTGTCACCCAGACTGGAGTGAGATCATAGCTCACTGTAACCTTAAACGGGATTCAAGCAATCCCCGCGCCTCAGCCTCTGTAGTTGCTTGCGCCACCACACCCTATGATCTTCTCTACAACTCTTATCAGTGCTCGGCAAACTACACACTAGTTTATCCTGTTTGGGGTCTGACTTGTGTTAAATAATGTGTCATTAGGTATTTATTCAATGACATTTATTGAAGATGGGAAAGGAAGACTTTATTCAGGGTCACAGAGATCGATAGTATTGCTACTGGGGGTCTTGCAGTGGGGGAGGGAGACTAGATTTAACTGTGAAAACAGCAGGGCAGGTGGGAACTTAAGGTCAAGGAGCAGGCTGGGGGTCAGTGGATGGAAATTACTAAGAGGAAATATCAGGGATGAGGGGGTTTCTGGCTAACCTGACCTAACAGCATTCTTGCTGAAGACTAAAGACACCTCCAGTGGGATGGTGGAGGGTGAGGAACCTGATCAGATATGGAAGGTGGGAAGGTTATTGCTGAACTGACTAAGCAAGGTTCAGCAAAGTTCTTTGCTAAAACTGGATTTTTACTTTATTTTTTTAGACACAGGCTTTTATTCTGATGCAGGGGGTGTCTCAAAGAAGGGAGGAAGGCCCCTGAACACCTTCCAAGTGCGTTCTTTTCCTTTCTTTTCCTGCCCCCACCCCCTCTCTCTGTCATCATAGCTCGCTGCAGCCTTGAGCTCCTGGGCTCAAAAGATCCTGCCTCAGTCTCTCTGGTAGCTGGAAATACAGGCCTATATCACTGTGCCTGGCTAATCTTTCTATTTTTTGGTGGAGACAGTGGTGGTGGGGTATCTCATTATGCTGTCCAGGCTGGTCTCAAACTCCTGGCTGAAGGGCGTGGACTTACAAAAAAATTGCAGAATACCTAATTCTGCAATTTGCTAGTTGTATTTAAAGATCAATACTGTAAGTTTTCTTACAAACAGGCACCCTCCTTCATGGGAGTTCTGTTTTGCACAACTTCTGAAATAGGCTGAACAGACAGAAAAGAG